CCCCCAATATCGACTTATTCACAACGGTTTGGCATGGTCCACGCTGTGCGTGAGGGGGTGTATTAGAATCCCACATTGGCTGGAGATATTCACATGATCTACTTAATAAAGTGAGGGTAATCCTCCCCTAATAAGTCAGTTTTGTTAGGTTGAGTTAGGCTCAATATCCTTTGATTTCTGTAAAACAAATGCAAGTATGTGAAAATGTTTTGGATTGTGATTCAACTTTGAAAAATTAAAGTGATTAAGTAGATATGTATTAAAAATACATTGCTCGTAAATATCCCATATATAAAATAAATGAGAATGTCTTCCTCCATCCACTCAATATAAAGATTATTAGTTTACGTTGGCCTTTCGTACGTTGTTCAACTTCAAACGGACCTATTTTGAATAGATTTTTAAACTTTTTAGCTTTATTGCTATTAATTTGACAATTTATGGTGCAATTTTTAAAAAATTGAAAGTTTACGATGTATTATACAAAAAAAAAAAAAAACAAAAGAGTGAGATACTGCAGGAGAATTTGAATTAATATTAATTTTATTCTCATACCTAAAGTATTGATTGCAGTGGAGATACTCTTTTTCGTCAAAGTATTTTGGGTAACTTTTTATTCAAAATAATTATGAAAATTATTGTAAAGAGACACGGGATATGTTGCTAGAAGAATTAGAGAGAAAGAGAGAAATAAATTAAGACTTGAGATGCATTAAAATTAATAGGTCAATAGTTTATATAAGTTAATAAATATGCCAAATTACTGTTTTTGTCCATAACTGTCTGACTATGAACCATAACTTAACAAGTTATTGTTTATAATTTATCTGGTTATGAACCATAACTTGACAAGTTTGTCCATAACTTATGAACCATAACTTGACAAGTTGTCCGTACCTTATCTGATTATGAACCATAACTTGATAAGTTATGGCATATTAATTTTTATAACTAAAAATTAGCCTATATATTTTTTTAAACTTTTCATATTGACCTATTTCTTACTATTTTTGGAAGAATTATTCCTCATAATAAATTTGATTTTATCAAGATTCAAGAATCCTCAAGTTGAGTATTGCACTGTGGTTTGGTTCTTCATGTGTTCATTGTCTTGACCAAAAAAAAAAGATTGGTGATTAGATGGAGATTAAAGTCAATATGCAGTTTATTTTTTAAGTTCTTCGGAATTTCGGCTTTTGTGATCTCCTTAATAAACGGATTAAGAAGAATTTAAGTTTGGCTAAACCCCTATATTATTCTCATGGCTGTCCACTTGGTTTCCTCTCTTGCAATAAAGGGGCCAGATAGGGAGATCCTTTGTCTCTTTTAATTTTTCTTTGATTGTTTCATGTAATTTATTTTTTACATTCTTCTTTTTTTTTTTAAAAAAATAAGTTTGAATGGAAGGCGTAGCATAACATAATTTCGATATAAGGTGTCAACCTATTTAGAATGTTATAATTAACATGTTGTCAATTGAATTCTCTCTTCATTAAAATTTTTTTTTTTAGTAAAACTAAAAACTCTAACGTTGTTATCGAACAATTGAACATGGTCTAGTGTGTATTAATGGTACGTGCCCAAAAAAAAGTACGTTCGCTAGCATTTGATTAAATTGATAATGGTATTTGTTCAGGATGATGAAGATCGTATTCTTCACTATGGTGTAACTAAAGAGGTTAACATCGGTCCAAAACCGACAACTATATATAGTTACAACAGTGTGAATGGCACGTAAATCCGTGTACTAATTGTATAGTCAGCAAATAGTTATTTACCGACAGCTTTTGGATTTTCTGAGTTACACAGTAACGTAAGGATACTGATCTGACATGCTAAATTTAAGGTCCGTTTGACGTTATTTTTAGAAGTTGTTTTTAACTTTTTAAAAAAAATTACAACAGATTGAGATATTTGGTAAATCATATTCTTATCTAGTAATTTTTAAAAACTGTTATTAAACAGTAGAATTTAAAAAAACAGGTCAAGAGTTACCTATATACAACAAACTTCTGTTGTCATTATTCAAATTTACTAAGATAATTTTAATAATAAAATTTAATTCTCAATATACTTATTTTATTTTTTTCATACCAAATTTAAAATAATTTTTTTTATTTATTTAAAAATTAAAAATCTTTAATAAGTATACTATGCTAAATTTCATTTTAACATTTTTAATAATTATCAAAATATTTAAAAATAACAATAATAAATATTAGTAGATGAATCATTTTTCTCTTTGAACAAAAGTTATTTATTTTAAGAACTATTTTAATTAAAAAATTTAAAATATATATTTTATATTATGAATAATGACCATAAAAATAGAAATAAAACTAACTATAAACGTGTGTGATAAATATGTCTATTTTTGTAATTATACATTTTAACAGCAATTTTATAGACAATTTATCGAACTCTTAAATTTTTACTTTTGGTACTCACAACAGCTTTATAAAATATTTACCAAATACCTATATGCTTTTGGTCACAACAACTTATTCCTAACATCACAGTAAAGTAAAAAATTTTAATGACAGAGCAATGTCAAACTGGCGCTTAATTAAAGTACTACTTATTCTCGTAAGCATAAGATTTGAGCCATTTTTAGAAAGTTTCTGAACTTCTCATCCCAAAGAACTGATATGGCTTACACATTTAAGTCAGTAATTTTGATTCTAAATTCAAATTTAGCGAGAGAACCAATTGGCGGGAAGATTTTTTATTTAAAATTTTTGTGTGAGAGCAGAATCAGAATCATGGATTCAAGTTCTAAAACCAAATGGATGCGACATGATTTGTAATTGGCTATCGCGATACTGAAAAAGAAAAGTATTTTATCGCGATATGACTTGTAATTGGTTATCGCGATATTGAAAAAGAAAAGTATTTTGTTAATATTGCTCATTTTTTTAAAATTATAAGTTTGAAGTGTCTTTTTAGTGAAAGGTGTATAATTTAAATGTCCAATAAATTTCGCATGTGAAACAGATAAGAACATAAAGAAGGGTAAAGAATATATCATATTCATTGCAGTTTTTTTTTTTTTTTTTTTTTTGTTTTTTTTTTTTTTTTTTTTTTTTTTTTGTTCAAAGGCGAAGGATATGTATACGAGATCAAATTTTTGTCTGGGGCTGCATTGCAGGCGCCGAAAGGACTCCATTATTTGGTGTTTGGTCACAAATTGACCTGATTACTCGAGAGTCAGAGTCCAATAAGCCATTCAAATTGACCTTTAGCTAGCTATTCATGGCTCATGCAATCACAAAAAAAAGGTGGAGAAGGAGCCCCACCTAGTGGCCAATGATAATTGCTCGGTTTTGGGCTAAAGAGTTAAATATGTTGCAGAAAATTAGAAAATGTTACCACTTAACTCATTTTTAATGGGAGAAAGAGGTAAATAATATTTTCAGTCAATTACATAAATGCCCATTATAATAGATGAAAAAAAAAAAAAATGTCTACAAGTTGTAATATTGACACATAAATCTGTAAAATAACTCTTAATGACATTTTTATCCCTAATTGATTATCTTTTAACCATCAGTTATACAAATTTATAACCACCTAAATAAAAAAAAGTATATTTAAAATTATATTATATCAGTAATAATAAAATGGACACATTAGTAACATTATTAATTAAAGACGTCCTAAAATGGAGTGCAAGAATAATCTGTAATTACTTCTAATATTTTATTGAAACTATTTTAAGTAAACGGTAAGTTTTAAAATATTTTAAATAAATAGGATATTTATTAGATAGCATATCTATTCATTAGGAGTAGATAAATTATATATTCACGTAGTAAATATGCCATTTACTTAAATTATGTTAAAATCTATTATTTATTTTTTTACGTTTAAAAAAATGTTATTTGCTACGATTTTCATTTTTTAGTTCCTTCCTCTTACAATCTTTTTACAATGATCCCCAAATTATGTTTATTTTATTTTACAAAGGGCATGAATTGATTAAAGTAACAAAAAACTTTATATCACTAGAGGAACTTCACTCTAAATTTCTGTTACTTGTATTTGCACCGGCCACATAAGCCCACCTATATTGGTAACCCTTTTGTAAAGAAAAAAAAATAAAAGCCGTTTAATTTGTTGATTCAAGTTTTTAATTTGAATTGAGTGTAATTTTATATAAAAAAATTTTACTGTAATAAAAAAATTAAATGTGACTGTTTTTAAGAACTTTTTACTGTTGTAAAACTCGAATCGGTAAAATAAACGGGTCCAAAGAATATACCTTCACTCATTACTCATTTCGATTCGGGACTTCTTTAATAGTTTTATATGTTTTTTCCTCTTTGTTAAAGAGGCAACAACTTATCTAACCTTACAAAGATTGGCAGGGGGAAAAAATAAACATAACTTGAGAAATAACTGGCATTTCAAATATTACACAGTAGTCCAAATTTGGAAGATTGATCATAAAAAAAATAAAATAAAATACAGTAAAATAAAACAAAAAGGGTATGTATGTTTAAGAAAATGCCCAGATGGCTGCAATTGCGCTGGTGCACAAACTTTTCCTTCACTACGTATCTATCCTAGTCATGTATTCGCGCTCCACGTTTGTGACACGTTTTTAAAACAATAGTTATACAAATTGTTAATGAAGACAAAAAGAAAAGAAAAGAAAAAAACCCGAAAAAAATAATAAAAAAATGTTCCGCTGAATAAAAGGGAGAAAAAACTCCTTACAAAACGTTCCACATTCCTGTGCGAAACGTTTCGTAAATTACCACGGGAGAAACGGATTCTCCCCCGGCAATGTAGAAGATAGAGATCGATTACACTCGAAGTCCAGAACATGGCAGGGATTGGCCCCACATGCCAAGTGACTTAAAAAAAAGATATAACGCGGGCTTTTTCCTTAACAAATGTTTGCAACACACCAAAATTCAACACCCGAGAAAGGAGGCGGATTCGACCCCACTTATTTCTTTGTCGAAACAATCTCCTTTGAGTAGAACTGGAACAAATTGGATGTAAGAGAAGAATTACTATTTCAACATAATCTCCTTGAGTCTGGAAAGTGGATATAAGAGAAAAAATACTGGTTACTTTTGCTAAAAATAAAAATAAAAATAAAAAAGAAGAGTAAAATGTCGTTTCCGAGAGTAAGGTAAATGTGGTTGTACAAGATGATGTTCTCCACATTAATGTCGTATACATACAGTCAACATAAGTAGAGCCCAATATTTTCCAAGCCCTGAAGCAAACGTACAACAGAGGTTCCAAAAGACCCAATTTAGTGGAAGTTTGCTTCATTGGCTTCGTAGTGCACTTCTCTATCCTACCACAACAAAAATCATAGACATTCCTCCACGATGCAGAAGAAGTAAAAAGGACAGATTTTACCAGGAAGATTGGACCACTGCAGTCTGCATTACTCACACTTGATTGACCTGTAAATGTGACGAACAAAGAGTAAAGCAGCACGGAAGCCCACCATCCCGAGCATCAGAAAGAAGCCGTAGCAGATGCAAGCCATGTAACCGAAGAAGAACGAGGTTTGCATGAAACCAGACATATCCGAACGGGCATAGTAGTAATACAAGCAGTACGCATAGATAAACAGGCCAGTTGATCCACCACACAGAAAAGACCTGGAGCAAACCAAGAGCATGGGTTCAGTTCAGAAGAAAGTGAAACATGTATGTACAACATCTGAAGAGAGCAATAAGAGAAAAAATAATCTGAAAAGAACAAGACCAAAAACTGACCAGCAAAAAAATATCCCTTAAGTAGCTTAGTCATATCACAGCAGAAGATGTATATGGTCTAAATGGAGGAAAAATAAATCCTCTGCAATTTTACTATCTGGTCTGTACTTTGTAATAAAGTTTCTTTCCAAACCGTTCCTCTATAATTTAGAGAAAGAGAAGGTTGTCATGACGTGGCAACGTGCAGTCATGCCTAATTTTTAGCATGAACACAAAATTATGTTTGACAGTAGTTGGACAAAAGTCCGGTTAACAAGAAAAAGGCAACACAACAAGATGCAGTAAAATGGTGGGGAGCGAAAATCACAAGGATTAGCAACCATATTTAGCTCTAGGAAGAACAAAATCACAGAACCCTTTGCAAATATAACAGTAAACAACTTGGTCTAGGATACCTGCTCAATACGGGAAGAAAAAATAAAACGTAGTAGTGGACAACAGAAAGAGAAAGAAGGCAACCAAGCAAGCTACTTTGCATTGAAAGCTACTGACTGCTGAACATTATGCTAGACACCATTTCTCTAGTGTTTTCTCTCACAAAAATTTTGAACAAGCTCAGACAACGAGAGAAAAACTACCAAAGCTATTTGTCCGCCAGCAATTAAAAAAAAAATTATATATATATATATATATATATCAATTTAGTCTTAAAGAAACTCAAAAGCAATAGGCTAGCCAAAACATTCCAGATAAAACTTTTTAACTTTTATCAGGCGTAACATGCAGAAAGACTGGCGTAACAAACATCAGGATATCACCCTGCCACTGATAACAGACTCTTTACCTGTGAAATTTCTACCTAACTACTAGCAAAAATTGAGTACAATGCTTTATCCTTGCTTTGAACAAAACTTATATCATTGTAAGTTAGCTACAATAACTAGGTACCACTGATACAAGAAAGAACACATTAGCATATTAATTAGAGAAGTCATCAGTTTCTGCTTGATGGAAATCACAAAAAGCGAGCGAAGGGGAAAAAAAGGTTACTTTCTCTGAAAATAAAGGACGAAGGAAACTCATATCAAAACATTATTTTAAAAATACCCTTTCAAGCAAAATAATAATGATAATAATAATAATAATCAGGGGTACCTCTCACCATAAAACAGAAAAAAAAAATAAAAAAAAAATATATATATATATATATATATATTGAGCAGTAAAATTTACTTGCAAATCAACTGAATTTCAGCTCATTTCAAGTCATCAGTTACTGCTTGATGGAAATCACAAAAAACAAGAGAGGGAAAAAAGGTACTTTCTCTGAAAATAAAGGACGAAGGAAACTCATATCAAAACATTATTTTAAACATGCCCTTTCAAGCAAAATAATAATAATAATAATAATAATCAAGGGTACCTCTCACCATAAAACAGAAAAAAAAAATATATATATATATATATACACACACACACACACACACACACACACATTGAGCAGTAAAATTTACTTGCAAATCAACTGAATTTCAGCTCATTTCAACTTGCCCACTTATCCCTTATTCACTTGTAAATTATTGCGACTCTTTCGTTTTCTATCACACTTAAATTAAAATCACCTATCTTCTTTCTTTTTCTTGCTGGAAATCACCTTATTTGTATATTTCTGAGGATTTATGAAATGGAAACTTCGAAACTATATTATTTTTCTTCTTTTCACCCTAATTTGAGCAATTTCCATCTCTTTCCCTTCTTTTGAGTTTTGACTTCATGCTAGCCAGGAGTATATTAATTTAAACTATTAAGTAAATATGATGATAAACAGAAAATGATGAACCATTTGATTGCAACACAGATCTTGTCAATAAAAAGGAATGGAAATAAATGCAAGAATGCATGTTTACCTCCACCACCATTCATGATCTTCAGCAGCAAGTTGGAAGTAGGTCAAAGCCACAGTGATAAAGGCAGTGACAATCAAGAGAATGATGAAAACAATAAATAGAATGCTGTAGATGGTGTAGATCCTGTGACCCCATACACTTGCAAATATGTAGTAAAGCTCAATGTAAATAGCACTAAAAGGAAGGAATCCTGCCATTGCCATTTGAGGAAGAGTACCCCTGTACCAAGGCAAAGGTGGAATCTCTCTAGGATATTTTGTCGTGCGGCAAGGAGCTTGAAACTCAGCTTTGCTGTTCTTCCCAGCAATACCACCCAACACAAGCAAAGGTGATGTTACTAATGTCCATATCAGAACAATTACTACAATGGTGCCGAAGGGAAGAGCTGCAGTTGCACTATAAGCAATGGCAACAGTGTTGAGGAAACAAAAAGTGAGGAAAAGGGGTCCACAAAACAGGCACCCTGTAAGTAACAGATTCCTCACCTGTCAACCAGAAAAATACAAAATGTATAAGTTTGGTTCACAGCAACTTTGTTCCATAAATATCAAACTAGAAATGATACTAAAAAAAACAAAAAAAAAATCTAGATTTACCCAGTTTGTTCCTTCAAGCTGACAATAGAAAGAAGTTGCCGTGTATCCTGCAATTCCAGATGTGAGCGCATATATGACCACCAATGCAGTGAATAAAGCTCCTCTATTGTATGGGTAGAAGACACCAACCAGTGCAAGCATGAAAATGAATACAGTGCTGGACATTGCATAAAAGGGGCAGGATATCATGGTTAGTAGACACGCTAGATAAACTCAAAATTTATCCGTACAGAGAATACATAATACAATACTTACAGAGTGAACAACTGTGTACCAGAACCAAGGGCAGCAGCAAATAAAGACTTGTACTTTGGAAACCTAAAAACATCACCATGGATGTACTTCCATCCAGTTTCTTCTTGATCATCAGCAGCTTCCTCATCTTGTGCATACCTTTGAACAAATAAAATAATTTCTATAAGCAGTTGAAAAAGTAAAACGAAGAGAGCCAAATGTACTTCTATGAACATTTTTTTCTGTACTTTAACAAACAAAATCTCACTTCATGAAATCATTCTTCAAAACCCGCATGAGGATTGTTGCAAGGAAACCAGTCAATAGCAGCACTGTAACACATGAATTTATGATTGAGAACCAGTGAATTTCCAAGTGATGCGGCTGTGAAGAAGATTGTGAATACTTGTCCATTCTCTTCTCAAAAGGAATATCGGTTTCCCTCCACTTCACAGTGTACGTGAAATCAGCATCAACCTGTTTGTCCTCGGTCAGGTCTACCACAGATTGAGGATCCATTTTAGCACTGATTTCGATCACACGATCTTTGTTGTAGAGAATCTCGAAATGAATATGCTTGTAAAGAAAATATTTGTATTCACTTGGGTCAGCTTTTCCCTCCTTATCAACCTTTCCGATAAAACCCCAGATTGGCAAGTCATCATAATACATTTGGAAGTAGTAATCCTTTTTCACGGCATCTCGAAACTTAGCAACATCTTCCCTTTTCAGCTTTGTCGTACAAGCAACTTCAGATTCCTTCTCTTTTTTGAATTCAAGTTTATATGGAGCACTAACAAGACGGTCTCCATTCAACACCTCCCCAAGAGCTTCTTTCTTCTCCTTAACATCACCTGTCATTTGCATCAAAGATAATATCAAATAAAAAGAAATTCAGAAAGTGTTTCTTTTAGTTAGGTTTACTTGTCAGTAGTGTTTATACCATTTTTCATTTCCTCAAAAACAATTCCAATAGAATTAGTCTCCATGACTGCTAATACAACCCACTGGACAAAGTATTCATCAATCCATCAGTTTAATGATAAAATGTCAGAAAATGAACCAAATAATTTTGATTCCCAAATTCCTGTGTTTTACTTCTGTGCACTGAAAACTCTAGGCAGCTAAATTTGAAGTTCACTAGTTCAAGTGGCACGGTTTCTAATTTTCATATCTAGTCCAGATTCTAGAAACTGCAAAATAACAAACATTAGCCTAAGTTCCAAGTTGGAGAGTCTTTCTTAATATTTTTGAAGCTCATATTCTATGGCAAAACACTAACGCAACTCAATGGGATTCTTTTAAAGATAAAATATAAACATTAATACGAACCTTTCCCAAGAACAAACTAAATTTGAGGAAGACAAGAAACTACGGAACATTCATTTCTGATAAATTAACAGAAACTTATTGATTTGGATAAATAAAACTCAGACAATCCAAAATTAGTAATTTGGATATTAAAAACCAGACAATCCAAATATAATCAAAAGAAACCAAGAAATTCAAACATAAAACACATACCTCCTGAACAGAAAGGCAGATCGAAATAGCGATATGTCTCACTGAACCATGAAAACCGGAGAAAAACGCAAAATTAGCGCATTCCAAATTCAAACAAGACAAGAAACAGCATGATAACATACTAAGTTCCATTTTCCATAAAAAAATCAAATTCCAAAAAAAAAAAATTAGAATTTCAGACCAAATTTAGGAAATAGGTAAACAATAATAGAATTGATAATCATAAACACCATTTCCCAATTCGACTTAGCTCCGACAATATTCATTCCACTTTCATTTCCAAATCAAATCACATGCCACAAAAATCATTATTTGTAGACCAGTATTCATAATAGTTAACCAAAAACAACAAATTACACACACACACACACACACAAATCCTTACTGCACAGTAAACTTCACTTACATGTCCAAAACAACAAAACACGAAATTTTTCCCAATCTGACCTAGCTCCATCACTATAATCTCAAATCCACATAAACAACTTTAAAATAGGATGAACCTAAATAATCACTAAGCAAAATGTCACCCAGAAAAAGATTTATCGAATTCAGATCCAAACACTAATTCGTCAGATCCAAATTCAGATCCAAGCACCAATACTTCAGATCCCGAAAACCGAATGCAGATCCAAAGAGAGAGACGTCAGATCCGAATTGCAATTAGGTTAGAGAGAATGATAGATTTACCTCGGGTTGTGGAAAGGGCCGACCTTGTTAGCGTAGAGAGGGACAGGATTTCCGTCCTTGTAGCGGTGATCGGAGTCGTCAGACCTCACGGCGGTAGCGAAACAGCCGATCAGAAGCGCGAGAACCAGAATCGTGAAGAAGTCTTTCATGGTTGGTCCTCACTCTATGGAACAACGAAGAAGACGAAGACGAAGACGAAGACGAAGAAAAAGAAGAAAAGGAGGAGGGAAGATAAAACGGAGGAAATGAAGGAAGTGGAATTAATAAACGAGTGAGATGTGTAGATTTGTTCTCTCAGAGCACCCAAAAAGAATTTATTTTGCATATTTACCCCTCAAGTTTAAAATTTTGACAACTTACCCTTTAAGCTTTTAATTTCAACAATTTATCCCGTCAACTTGTAAAATTGGTGTAATTTACCCATTTTGATAATAATTTTGATAAATTTGTGATGAAAAATCACATTGAACGGAAAATTTTAACATTTGAATTCAAAACGTAATACGAATTTCTCAATTTCTTAAATCTAACGAAAATCAAAGCGAAATTGATAAAAAAAAAAGGCACATTACAACACTTTGCAAGTTAATATAAATTATTAAAATTTGATACCTTGTATTGTAGCGAAATTATCTTTTAGTACCACGTGTTTGATAATTTTGAATTGGTACCTCTTCTTTTAAAATATCAATTTTTAGTACCTGAAGCTATTTTTAGAATATAAAATGTTGAATTTAACAATTTGCCCCTTTTAATAATTTCTGATTTGGTTAACCTGAATTTGCTCTTTTAAAATTTTTAAAGGCAAAAGGATGTTTGATTACAAGTATAGGGGGGTTTTTTTTTTAAACGTTTAATAAAGATTAAACTCTAGTCAACTAAATCATAAATTATTTAAAAGGGTAAATTTGATATATTTACATCTCAAAAAAAACCTCATGTACCAAAAACTAATTTTTTAAAATGCTGAGATACCAATTTGAAATTATTAGAAACAAGATTTACTATCTGCTATAACACAGGATACCACATTGAATTATTCATTAGAAGTTTATGAGGAAAGTTGCTAAAAACCCTACAAGTTTAAAGTGCAAATGTGAAACATACAAAAATGTATATTTGTTTCTTGGTTTAATTTCACTTTTGGCCGAACTATGCAATATGTCTCATTTTCGCATTTTAATTGTAAAATATTGCAAATCAGACCCCATATTATATAAACTGTTCCATTTTGATCCTTTGTCGAGGCTGTAAAAAAAAACCGTTAAATTTTGGCCCTTTTACTCGGGATTTTTTTAAAAATATTTTGTGCCCAAAAATTTGGCTAAGGGATGAAACTAAAGCATACTTCTAAATTTTAAATAATACTTTTGCAGTTTTAGAAAATGGGAGGAGAAATAGAGAGAAAAATTTGAAACTGAAAGACATACTTATGTAATCACTTTCAAAAAATCGAGGTTTAAGTTGATATACGATCTACAATTCGGGTGGCATTTACAAAATTATTTATTGTTTTTTTTTTCCTGTTTATTTCATTTTTGGTCAGTGATTTTAACTTATTAAAAGTTTATAGCAATCTGTTTTGGGTTTTTTTTTTTTTTTTTTTTTGGTTTCGTAATCTCTTGCTTACTGGGAATATGCCCTTAAAGCAAAAAATAAAAATGCATGGCAAAAGCATCTCAACTAATAACAGTGTATATGAATCGTTAATTAGTGGGATGTCTATGAATAATTATTTTATCTATTTTAACAAATTTATTTTTCAAATGAAATTAATTCATAATGTTGTATTTTGATTAAAAAAGCTAATTAAAAACCTTAACGCCCAATATTTTTCGATAAAATAGATAAAAATAACCGTTGATATTCACATGATAATTTACATAAAAATCGACGTCATTTAAATTGGGAGTGCCACTCATTTTTAAATTATATTTGATTAATTGCCAAAAAAATATTTAAGGGACGCATTGCAAATGAAAGAGAAGTTTAGAAGGCAGCAAGATAAATAAGTCATTTTTTGTTGTTTGGTTTTAGTTTCCGAGCACGAGTGATGTATAACATGTAGGGCTGTTTATTTCATCTCTTTGAATTTATAATTCTGATTTTACTATAATATTTTTTTCTTATAAAAAAGTTAAATTAAAGAAATTTCAGCCGATGATTCTCTTATAAAATTTGAATTCAAAATTAAAATTATTAATTAAGTGAACTAAACGGGTCATTAATAACTTTTGTTGTTGATCATTTGAGGATCAGACTGAAAAAATAATAAAAAATTAAATACTCTAAAATTTTCAATTTCAGTGTAACAATATTTTTTGCGCGACATAAGATCATTCTCTAAGAATAAATTCTATAAATCCCAAAGTTATATCACCTTTTTTTTATTATTATTATTATTATTTGAAACGTAAGTTATATCACTGTTTACTTTACTCATAAAGTTGGGAAACTGACATTTGTTCGCCCTAACTTTAAAATATTAGAAGAAAAGTTTTTTCTTTTCCCAATTAAATGAACAAAAAAGATGATGTACCATTTGACAGCTTAAACCTTAATTTAAAGAAGAACTTTAATCATTAATAAAACAATGATATATATAAAATTAATAGCAAAATTTTTTTTCTGGTTTCAAAATGAAAGGGGAGACTTCACGGTGACTGGGAGAAGAATTTTAAAGTATGTTCTTTCTCAAATTTGAGTTTCGCATGTGAAAGAAAATACTATAATAAAAAAGTTGTATTTAAATTTTTATAAGATAAAATATTGTAACAAAAAATTTAAGTTGTGATTTGAGTTAGTTAAAATAACATGCCCTTAATCATTAATAAAACAATGATAAATATAAAATTAATAGCAAAATTTTTTCTGGTTTCAAAATGGTGGGTTGATCGCAGAAGGTGTGAGGGGTGAGTTGTGTTGTTGTGGGGGAAAGTTATTAGGGAGTGGATGACGCTACAAAAAATTTGGGCGTCAATTTCACAATTTTGTCTTTAAGATTAAGTCACTTTTCTTGTTGTCCACTGAATTTCGAAGAATAATATCATATTTAGTGAAGATCAACTGTTGACATAAAATTTTGCACCGTGTTTCAGGATCAAAATAAAGATAGCATGGTAATATGTGTTGCGTAACTTGTTATCATCTATTAATATCGAGATTCAGGATCAAAATAAAGGTGACATGATAAATTATGTTTAACAAAGTGTTATTATTTATTAATATTCGGATCGACATGCAATTATAATGAGACTATTATAACAATCAATAAAAAGTTACAACAAATCTCAAAGAAGGTAACACTAAAATATTTTTATTAAGATTCATTAACTTTTATTTACATAATATATACTGATTCTTTATTAATAAACCATATTCTACCCTTATCAATCTTCTTTTACATTAAAAAATGTTATTCATTACAATAGGAATAAATATAACATTTCTTGACTACTTTAAAGATTGAAAAATTGAGCTATTAACTACAATTTTTCAAGATTAATTGACCTGAAAATAAAGAAGCTAATACCAACTGGTGCTAGTCTAGTTGGTAAGGGTGGAATGAATTTAAGAAAGAGATCATTGTCTCACTTGAATCCGGAAGAAGTAGCAATGCATAACAACAACAACAATAATAATAATAATAATAATAATTTCACTGGTAGTCCTAATTTTTAGAGTCATTTTTACTTTACCTTATAAATTTTAAAAACTCTCACTTTGTTTTTTGATTTTTGAATTGTTTCATTTAAGCCCTTTGGTAAGAATTTATGTTAAAATAAGAGAAAAATAGAGAGAGTTAAGTGTGACCATGTGGTTTTTTTTAGTTTATTTTTAACAAAAATTTAAATAGAAAAACTACGTGACTGCATTACTCTCTTTTTTATATATATTTTTAATAGAAATTACATCATAATGGGCTAATTGGGACAATTCAAAATTCAAGAAAAAAAAGTGAGGATTTTTAAAATTTATAGAACAAACTGAGAATACTCCTAAAATTCAAGGCACTAGTGATGATGATCATGACGACGACGATGATGATAATAATAATGATAGTAATAATAATAATAAGGAAATTGTAGTAAATAACATATTTTTGAAAATAAATTAAGTAAATAGTAAATTTTAAAATGATTTAAAATAAATAATAATTTACGTGATAAATGAATTATATACTGAGTAAATAGTTCATTTATGACTAGTAAATATATTTTTTTCACGTAAATTTTCTTTTTACAATTAGTAAAAAAAATTTCCACATAAATAAAGATTTTTTTTAATAAATTTGCTTTTTACGGTAAGTAAAAAGATTTTTTTCTACATAAGTAAAAATTATTTAAGATTTGTTTACCCCATATGTTATTTTTACCAGTTGTAAATGAATTATTTACGTAATGAACGATGCGGTAAATGATTCATTTATCACGTAAACTGTTGTTCTTTCAAATAATTTTAAAATATGTTATTTACTTAATTTAGTTTTAAAAAGATGTTATTACTAGGATAATCTTGACAAATATCTCTTAAAAGTGTATACATTAAGATTTTTACTATTTTTTTTAGTTAAATAATTATACTAATAAAATAATATTTATCAAAAGTAAGAGGAGGTAAATTTTGTAATTTTCTCCGATGTAACTACATTCTCCCTAATAATAATATAGAAAGTTAAATTTGGGCTGCAGGCCCAGTGGTGCTGCAACTAAAAAGCCCAATACGGCAGCCCTTTGACTACATGGCTTAAAGTTAGAACCGACGAAGCCTAGAAAGTTTCATTAGAGCCTTGGACACCAGCAGGACTGGAAAATGGCATTTAAGGGTGGGTACAACGCAAAAATCGGATTCGTAACCTTCAAAAGTCAACCCGACAGAAAGTCAACGACTGACGGAATCTCCCTCTAAGACATTTGACATTTTTCACTCTCTATGTATGTATCAATCAATGTCTATCCCATTTTGAAGAAAAGAAAGAAGCAAAGTGCAAAAAAAAAAAAAAAAATGGAGAAAGTACTTGCGAAACTTGTTCTTGTGGTTGGTGTTCTAATGCATTGTGGAAGCACCCAAGTGAGATCTGATGCCAAACACCACCGTTACAAAGCTGGAGATTATGTTCCTTTATACGTCAATAAAGTTGGCCCCTTTCTAAATCCCAGGTAATTAATTTCAACCCACATTTACTACCAATTTCATTTTCATCATTCTTATCTTGTCTATATATATGTATTTTCATCATTTTTTTTTTGCTCATGAAAGAGTGTATTTTGTTCTTGTGATTATTCGTTAACGGTTCAAACTTCAAGTTGTCAACTTTTTTTCTTTCTTTCTTTTTATGAGTGCTTTAGATATAAAATGTCAGATGGGGTTGGCTGAATTGTTAATGAACTAGAGTTCTAGCTGATATCAACCTCTTCGGTTTGACATTCGCCTTGGTTTCTTCGATTTGACGTTCGCCTTGATTGTGAGACGTGATTAAAATCTGTAAAACAAAGTTAGAAACCTCACAAGCACTCCCTCACGTGTTTCACTCCTTATGTGCATCTTTCTTGACACTCGTGTTTGTCACTCAATAACTTTTATCCTCTGTTGTTCTCACCACTCTTGACTTTTTTTTTTGTTTTCTCTCGTTATGTCTTTTCTAGTTCTTAATCGGACTCAGAAACACTCAAATTTTTCAAGTAACGATCAAGTTGATGGCAACCGAACAAACCAATAAAATTAAAAGGCTCCGAAACTAATGAAAACAAGTGAATTTTGGCTTGAAAAATGGTGTCGGCGGGCTATGCCCGGCCGCGAATGTAGAGGTCGAAAAGAGCTTCGATTTGATATATTATGAGCCCCGTAACGATTTATATCAAAAGTTATGGCTATTCCAAGTCACAGTCCTCTGATATTTTTTTTTTATAAATATTTTCGAAAATCTCAAATCAAAACAAGAATAAAAAGGAAGAACTCGAATTGAAACCCCAGGACACTAGAAAGCGATTAAAGATAGTCAAACTTGCCTTGGAACCAAAGCTCTGATACCAACTGATATGAACCTCGCCAACGACGCGACGAGACCCAACACCAAACGCGGATCACAACCCCAAGAACTTCAAGACGCAAGATTGTTGAGCCTTAACCCGTTGTCTATCAAGACACGAATCAAGAACTACGAAGGTTGAAGAACGCCACACCAAGATTATCAAGAAATACCCATTAATCTCAATGATAAGTCCGATTTTTTGAACGCCACAAGAACAATACTTGATAAGTTCAAAGTCTTTTCAAGAACAAAGAAGCACGAATATGAGAAACCTCAATATCAATAATAATTCATTAATTAATTCAAAAACGTGTTTATACATTCCTATTTATAGTTTATGCGATTTTAACCCTAATGAAAAAGTAAAACATCTAATTACATAAGCTTAAAGCCCAAACTCGGCAAAACCCTATCTATTCTAACCCAAGGCCAATTCGGCCACAAAGCTTTTCCCCTAGGCCCAATTCGGCTAGTCCCTTCTAGGCTCTTATTCGGTCAGCCCTTGTTAAGCTCTTTGCACTTTAACTTGAATATTCTAGAACCTTAATTATGGTGATTAGGTTCTCTTCATTCGGATTTGGACTTGTGTTGAGCCTCTATGTGTTTGTCGTATCTCCAACTTGTTACACCAGCCCGTTCAATGCTTCGTTGAAGTGTTTGACTTTAAGCCTTGTCACCGGACCACTTGGTAGACTCATTGGATCTCTTGAATGTTGCGCCGCTTGCCCTTGTGCTCCACCTATCGCATCACTAGCTCGCTGTCTTAGTTTGGTAAATAATTGAAAACTATTACAAAAGTCTCGTTCCAATCTCTAAACTTCAAAACAAGAGTGATATTTCATAAAACCTCATTCATTTCACCGATTTAAATTTTCAGAATGTGGCCTAAATATTATCTATTAATCGCATTTATTAATCCCGTTTTAAAGTTTACGGCACTGTTATGATTTGGATTTTTATAAAGAAAATGACTAAATTGCCTTTATATTGTTCAAAAGTCCCCTTTTGACCTTTCTTTTTCAAGTTCCTAGAAATCCCCGAACTCACTTTGTGAGCCTGAAAACTAGAGCCTTCCGCCAAACCTGCAATCTTCAGAAGGTCCCTTTTTTACCTCTTTTCAGTAAGTGTTTGGTTTAATTTACTAATTAATAAGTCACAGAAAGACAAAAGCACTTAATCAAAGAAGACTACTTGGCGTAGGTTATTCATTTTTGCCTGATGTATGGAACTGTTTTTGTCATTATATAGTCTAATTAATTAGTAAAATCAACATTCTTCTAATTTCATAAAACAACAACCATTAAATTGAAAAGGGACCCTAAAAACCCTCATTTTTGCACAAATTGTTTTACATGTTAGGGGCTGTTTCTCTTATTTTAAATTTTAAAGACTAAAACATGGGTTTTTTTTTTATAATTCAGGGACATAGAATATATTATTCCAAATTTTAAGTTTGTATCGGAACAAATCCACGAAATTTCTCGTACAAAAATTAAATTGGTAATCTAGTGTATGCCTTTTAGTTACTATAGTTTATAAATTGGTTGTTTTTACTCACTTGATTTAGCTTAAATGAACTGATAAACATCTTCCTACTATAGTTTATAAATGCATCCTTTCAATTATAGTTAGCTGATGAAGAATGAAACTTTGGTTTAGTACTCTTAGGTGACATTCACAATTTTGGTCCCCCTTTTTTCACCTTTCTTGAGTTTTGTCTTTCTTTCATAGTCTGGAAGAATATATGACACGGTTTTTATGGAGTAGACAAAGCATTAGTTCCAAAAACACTTTGCTGTTGGTTTTTCTTTTCAATTTAGCAAAACCTTTTCTTCCTTAAGAATGAATCTAATGAACATACTACTCTTTTGATCGTTTTTCACTCTGATGTTCATCTTATACTCGTGTTACATTTATGTCAAGTCTGCGTAGATGTTCATTTTGTACCATTGGGCCCATCCCATCAGAATATCTTCTGCATTTTCCAAGATAAATTTGCATTTTTTTATATATGGATTAGCTGACGGGTTATTTTATCGTGCTCTGACATTTTCCTTGTTCCTTTCATGTTCAGTGAAACATACCCCCATTTTGATCTTCCCTTCTGTCAACCAGGTTTTTGTCTTAAAACTTGCAACTTTTGTGTTTCTTGTTATATGTTTTTATGCAACTTTTATCTTTTATAGTATTTCTTTTCCATAATAGTCGGTGTGTTGTAACGGCAGATCATATCGAAGAGAGAAAGCAAACTCTTGGCGAGATGTTGAGTGGAGATCATCTTATCAATGCTCCGTACAAACTTGAGTTTCTTGTGGAGAAATTTGCGGAAGTCGCTTGTAGAAAAAATTTGACCAAGGAAGAAGTTTCCCAGTTCCGAACAGCAATCAAAAGAGAATACTACTTCCAAATGTACTACGATGATGACTTGCCAGTAAGGGAATTTGTAGGGGAAATTCACAAGCAAGGCATATTGGATAATTACAAATATTTTCTTTACAAGCATATTCGCTTTGACATTCTTTTCAATAAGGATCGCGTGATCGAGATCAATGTTGAAGCATACCCTAGAGCACTATACCCTGGAGCAACGGTAGACCTAACTGAAGACAAGGAGACATATGTAGAGTTTGTTTATACTGTGTTCTGGAAGGAAGTTGACATTCCATTTGAGAAAAGGATGGAAAAGTATTCTTCAGTTGCACTACATAGCGTGGAACCCCGTTGGTTTATAGTGTTGAACTCATGTTTCACGCTTCTCCTGTTGGCCGGTTTCCTTGTGAGATATTACATGCGCGTCCTTAAGAAGGATCTTACAGAGTAAGCATTATGTGAATGCTCAATTGTAAGTTATTTTTCTTTTTTCTTCCTGTTGCTTACACATTTTATGGTTGATGAGAAGATTGCAAGATGAGGGATTAGTTTCTAGCCAAGAAGAAAGAGGATGGAAGTCCATCAGAGATGATGTATTTACATGCCCAGTTCATAAGTCCTTACTTTCTGCAGCCCTTGGTTCTGGTACTCAATTGTTAGCACTGTAAGTATCTAAAGCTTTCACTATATGAAACTATCAAGCTCAAATGCACATAATCACGTTACAAAATTTCTCTCAATTTTCTTGGCATGGATTTCAAGTACCATACTCGTCCTGCTACTCGGGATATTTGACATATTCCATCCACACAAACCTGGATGCTTTTTGACTGCACTTATAGTAATTTACGCAATTACTTCTTGTATTGCGGGATACACGGCAACTTCCTTTAATTGCCAGCTTGAAGGAACAAATTGGGTATGTCCATAGGATTCTATTCTAAACCTCCAATTTGAGCTTTTTACTTTGATGCTTCTACAAGCATGGATTTGTGCACTCATTCGATTTCAAACTTTGTTATGACAGCTGGGAAATCTGCTACTAACTGGATGCCTTTTTGGTGGACCTCTGCTTTTTACATTTTTACTTCTCAACTCAATAGCTACAGCTTATAAGGCATCTATAGCTGTGTCTTTAAGTACAATCGTCGCGTTGGTTCTCATTTGGATCGACACATTTCCATATGTTGTATTGGGTGGAATTTTCGGGAAAAGTAGCTACAAGGATGAGCCTCAAGATGTTTGCCAGAATATTGAGGCCGAGTTGCAAGCTCCTCTCTGCATCACAAAAGTGCCTCGAGAAATTCCGCCGCTTCGCTGGTACAAGCGCGCTCTTCCTCAGATGGCGTTGGCTGGGATTATTCCCTTTAGTGTAATCCGCTTTGAGCTTGACCTTGTAATTCTTAGCGTGTGGGATCTTAGGGACAAGGATCATAGGAACTATGTTGTCTACACGATCCTGTTTACCACCTTCATTCTTCTTCTGATTGCCGTTTGTTTAGTTAATGTGCTTTGCACGTGGTGCCAGCTTGTTGCTGAAGATTATAAATGGTGGTGGAGGTACACATTTTCTTTATTCAGTTTATGCACTTTTGCTTCTGTAAGTTTCTTATTTCGAGCTCAAATTATGTTGAATTTCTTGTTTCTCTATTAAACTTTATTTGCGGTATATTTGATGTGGTAATGGTATTCTTTGAGTAGTTTTAGAAAAATAAATCCTTTTATAACGCCAAGTTCCTTAGGTCACCTTAATCTAAGCATTTTATATTTTTATATTCGAAGATCCGTAAGGTCCTTAAGACTCATTTGAATGCATGAATTTAACATTACAACTGAGGGTGTTTTTCATAGTACAATAACTTAAAAAAATAAAACTTCAGTCCCTTCTATTGATAAGAAATACTTGAGTTGTTCAACAATGTCATTTGACTTGCTACTTGCTAGTCTATATTTTCCGGTCTAATGGTGCTTCCAACAAAATATTTCTGGTCATTTAATATGAGAATGTTGTGAGTACTCTGAACTGATTATAATCATCTCTCTCTCTCTCTCAGGTCTTTTCTTTGCGGCGGATCAATTGGCTTGTACGTTTACGGCTACTGCATATATTACTACTTTGCTAAATCAGAGTGGTCTGGATCCTTGCAAATCTCATTCTTTTTCGGATACATGGCTTGCATCAGCTATGGCTTTTTCTTGGTCTTCGGTACCGTTGGTTTTACGGCCTCTTTTTGCTTTGTGCGCTACATATACAGCTCTGTTAAGTGTGATTAGTGACCATTATAGCTGTTAATCACTCTTTTTTATGGTATGTACATCATGTCCTTCAAACGAACCAAGTGGTTTTAATTAAGATGTTGAGAGTGCTTCCTATGTTCTTTCCCTTCTCATAAATTATTTTAGTATATGAATGAATCAGAATATATACGTATACATATAAGTAGAAAAATAATCCTTTTTAAACCTTTGGTGCATCTTGGGAATATATAGTTAAGGCTAGGTGTCATTGTAGAGTGCTTGGATCGAAAGAAACCCGTTTGCCTAATTCGACGACATGGGCAGAAATAAACAAGAACTTCTGCAACATTGTTAGGAGTTGTTTGTGCAGTGAGTGACTTCTCAGCGGCCTTTCACTACGTGACTTTGTGGGCTTCCTCTCTTCGACCTTGTCAGCTTCATGGCATTGATGATTTACTTCAGAAATAAGTTGGATTTGTAGACGAAGAAGGTCAAATGAGACCCTCATCCTTGAAAGACGGTTGAAACAAATACGAAACTTCCTTTTGTCTTGTTTGTTTCAACGTTCCTGTTTTGAATATGGGAGATGAGAGTGAACTATAAGTTTTGGCATTGTTTCATAATCGACTCGGGTGGAAAGCGACCAATCTCCAGTAAAATGTGGGAGGATACAACCTGCAAATTCTTTGTCACGAGGTTAAGGGTCGACATGATGAAGACAATGTGGGGAACCAAACAACCTCTGGAAAGGGTGGTTTTGTTATTCTGCAGAAGGAACGACACGGTACATATTGGTCGATACGACTCTACCATTCGCGGGTTTTGTCTCGAGTGATGTTGAGCCTGCTCCTGGGAATGTGGATGGATTAATTACTTATAAAATGAAGTCCCTCGGTTGTACTTATTTTAAAGCTAGAAGAAAGTAGTGGAAGTGGACTTCATTCTCTGGAAGTTGGATCCTTTACTTCAGTACTTTCGGTATAAATATAGTAGAATGCTTCTTATAAGCATTCAAGTGCAGTACTGTAGCATGTTCTTTAAATGGCAGTCTTTAAATCCTTTGTAAATTCATCAACTTTTTCTCTCCTTTCCTTTTTCCTTTATTAAAAAAACTGAGTTCAAAGAAAAATGCCAATTGAGAGACCAACGTTTATTAACTTGTGTTTAAGACTATCATGTCATAACATTCATAGTAAATTCCAAATAGTGATTTTGGATGGTAAATATTAAATAGTTAAAATCCAAACAACCCATCACTTCCTTTTATGATTAAAAATTGGATACAATGAGCTCTTCTTACTTGAGATACAATTTGATTAGGCTCTTTCCTCCGCTTTTTCCGTTGTATTTCATCAAATGGGTACAAAAGATTGGTTATATATAATATGCATACTTTTGATCTTGTTTGTCTGAATGTTTTCGTTTCTTTTAGATAACTTCAAAGAAGAATCTAAGCCATGGTAAACCTCAATATCTAACTAATCCAAAACTAGAAAGAAAAGTACTATCAACCCAATTATGCTAAGAACCAAATAAAACGAAGAGATGAAAAAAAAAAAAAAAAAACCTTAATATCACTCAAACAATAAACATTTACCTTCATATAACCAAATTAAAGTTTACAAGACATACGTATTTAATGAATTTCTTCTCATGCAAAGGGTGTCCTTGGGATTCTCCCCCCAAAAAAAAAAAAAAAAAGAAGAAAAAAAAAAGAATCTGCATATCTATCAGTTGTGATTATCATCAAATTCCTTAGTCAGTCCAAGTATTAATTTGGGGTTCCAATTACAAACAGCAACAACAACAATAACAACAACAGTTTATGGTCTACTTCAAATGATTAATAATGTGCAACTCTGAAAAAAAAAAAAAAAGAAATCTGCAACTCTTAAAAAAAAAAAAAACTTCATTCATTCAAACAAACGAAACATAACAAAGTACTACAAAACCAAGAAAACTAGCAGGAAGTAGTTAACACAAGAAAACTAAAACAGAAATAAGCCTATACAACTTGACGTCTTGACCACATTATGAGCCATACATAATTACAATCTCTCTCCGGCCACTTTTCATAACTACACCGCATGTACAAAAGAAAAAAAAATAATTCAAAACTCAAAACACACAATAATCAGAAGAGGGCATTGTTTGTTTTCCCTTGAACAATTCAATTCTTTCTGTTAGACTCTGAATCTTGGCCTCCAAGCAATCCGATAAACCCGTCAACGAGCTCTCCGATAATGCCGCGAGTTCTTCATCCCAGAGAGACAATCCACCTACGTTTCTGATGTCGAAATTGTCCCAAGTTTTTTCCTCCTCAAGAGCCTGTTTTTCAAGCTTCTTTATCTTGGCCTCCAAGATATCAGAGAGATCAAGCTTCTCGGTCCTCTTGCACTTGTTGCCTTCCTTTGTTGCTTCAATGTACTTGCCAATTATGGATTGTGCCTCTGTCGGGTTCTCCGGCCACACTTGGAGGTCGCCGTCGGGCCCGAAACAGACCACGCAAACATCGACATTGCAACGATCGGCGAGCTCGCCGGCTTTCTTCTTCAGAGTAGATCTTCTTCTTTCGAAAACCTTCTTCTTAGACTTTTCCATGTCGTTGGAGAAAATCAGAAAATTTGAACAGAGAGAGAGAGAGAGTAGGAGAATGAGAGAACTGAGAAAAAATCTTTGTGAGATTGAGATTTGACTTGCTTGCTTCCCAAGGCACATAATATAGGGCGTAGTAGGATTGCAATGCCCACTCAACGGCTCAAGGGCAAGCCATTTAAGGCAATTTTCTAATGTCCTGTGATAATTAAAGATCATTAATTACCTTTACATCTCAAGGTTACTTTATTAGAAACCCTTGACCAGTTAGCTTTACCGTTAAAAAAATATATGAATTATTAGTTAGTTTTTAAATTTTTTTCTAGAAAAAAAAAACCCATTTTAAGTCTTTAGTTTAATTCCTTACCTTCAAAAAAAGAAAAAAAGTAGTTCTGTAAAACTCATAAAACAAGAACTAATAATAAAATATTTTTTATATTAATTTTCGACATTTATTGTTTTCTTCTTCTTGCAATTGACTATTTATCTTTTGAAATTATTATTTATTGATTTTTTAATATTATTGATTGTTTATCTTTTCAATATTTCTTTTATATGTCCCTCTTTCAAATGTCATTGGTTGAATATTTAATTATATCATTTCGAATATCTTGCAATTCTCTTTTGAATAATTGTTTTTAAAAAAAATAGAATAATAGGAAATAAAATCATTAATTACTTTTGGTAGACACACACATACTCGGGCACTAAATACTTAAGCTAGCCTCAAGTTGCTTATAATAGACTTATAAAAAGAAATTAATGATAGGTTTTTTCCTCTCCCTACAAGTACACATCCACATGTTATATCTTGTTTTTTTAGGAAGCTATCTCCCTAAATGATAAACGCTTGTATTTTAAGATCTATTACAAAATGTTAAATTTTTCTTCACTATTTATAGTGTGATAATTGTTATTTGTTTTTTAAGAGAATTTCTCTAATAAAATAATCCTAACAGTCTATAATTATTAAATTATGTTAAAATCAAATTAGATTAAAAAATATATAAAATAAACAATTTATAATATAATTTTAATAGTTAAAATAGAAAATTATCAATAATTTAATTTTTTAAGACATATAAAAAACACTCTTTTTAGTTTTAATTTTTAAAAAATTTTCTAATACGATCAATAAATTAAGTTTTTTAATTATTAAATTTACATATTTTTTAATTTTTATGTATTTTTATATATATATAACGGATAAAAAACTTCATCCCTTACTAGTATACAGAAAAGATTTCTTATTTTTTGTACGTGAAGTTTTTTTTAATCATTCTGTTTTATAAGTTGTCACCTCAATCACTATTCCAAACAGAGGTACACCTTATCAGCAAAAAAAAAAAAAAAAGGACACCTTTACTAGTTAACTTTACTTTTGCTATTTGTCGCATCTTGTGCATGGTTTATGATTTGTGTATAATCGTTCCTTTCTTCATTTTGTCTACTTTTTATATATTTTTAAGGCATTTTCTGCCGTCCTGCAGCATTTTTTTTTGGGAACATGTCCCCCATGCACGCTGTGCAATGTTGTGAGAAAAAGGAAGAAAGTTCATCCGGCTAGTAACAGTGAACGAGAAATACCGAGAACAACTTTTTTATCACTTTATTTTTTACTCTTTTTATTTATTATTTAATATGTAAATTTTACTATTTCACTTTCTATTTGAACAAAATATATCATATTAATAAAGTCTATGTATCAAACAGTTAATAAAGAGAGTGACAAAGAGAATAATAAAAAAAAATATTGTGAGCATTTCTAATAGTGAATTATTTATAGAACTAGTTGAAAAAAGCTTCATAGAAGATTAAGATAAAGTAAACTTAATCCTCTCAATTTAAAGGCACGGGCTCTCAAAACTACATTGTAAAGTGGTGCTGTGAAGTATAGATGGAGCCAAAAAAAATCCTAAATCACCAATAGATCATTCTCTTTAATCAATGACGGAGTTAGGATTTTATGAAAGCATAATTTAAGAACACGAAAAATGTTAAACATCTTTAAAATATCAACTCCTAACACTAATAACTAGCTAGTTGGAAGCATGCGTTACACACGTTCAAATTTAGTTAATTATATTTGTTGCATGAATATAAAACTTTGTGAAGAGTTTAAATTTTTAAAAGAAATGTATCATTCTCTTAAGTTTTTAGTTAGTACAAAAAATAGTATAATGGAATGAAATGAATGGTTTCAATCAAACTATGTTTTCAGTTCAATATTACATGTGTATAGATACAAGAATATATATTTGAGTGAGAAAGATTTTAGTGGGCAAATTAGATAGAAAATTATATAGAAAGTACACATGAGGAACTAATAGTTGAGAGTGTCGCAATAAAAAAGGTTTAATTATGGACACATCAATTAGGGGTAAGTTAGAGAAAAAGTATTTGTGAGATAACAACTGAAAAGGTTGCGTGAAAAAAAAAATCTTAAATAGGGATACATTTGAGAAAAGTTATATTAATTTGTCATTTATAAAAAAAAAAATCTTATTTGATATCACTTTTGATATGATAGACGCAACATGAAATTAGATATAGTAGAGACATATTTGAACTTTGGTTAATTAAGAGGGGGACAAATATGAAAAAAAAATGTTAAAGAACTATAGACAGTTAAAAAGAAAAAAAAATCAAAACTTTAGGGGCCAACAAAATTTTCTAAAAATTTCAGAGGGGCATATGCCCCCTTTGTGCTAGAATATGATACGAACCACTGACACCGAGCACCCACCTTGTTCTAGGATCCTTTATCTTTGCCTTGAATCATTGGGTTTAGACATTACTTCGGTGATCTTTAATCGTTTCAAAATGGCAGCAACATACCATTTTTTGTGATTTCTTTCTATCAAATAATCATACGAATGGTTGAGCCAAAATACCAAACGAAAGTAGATCAATTTTTTTTCATTCCCGAGGAGGTGCATATTTTACCTGAATCTTTTTCCATAATGGTACGAAACAATAGTATTATTGGAGTAGATACACGAATCACTTTAAATACAAGAAGCCGAGTAGGCGGATTGGTCCGAGTGGAGAAAAAAAACAAAATGATTGAAGTTTTCATTCTGTACATGCCAGATCATGAATTAGTAACTGCATCTAATCTCCAAAAGATCCCAATTGTTTCGAACTTTCTCTTTTTGGAATGGAATTTTTACGGAATCCCCATGAATAGGATCAAAACTTATTCCATGATATTTACATGAGATTCCTCTTTCTTGTTCTTAAACAAGTCCCCGAGAGGGCTTAGTTGATCGAAATATGGTTTTCAAATTAAGTTCCGAATTAGTGGATGCTGCCAAAGGGAGTGGCGATGCCATACGCAAAAAGGAAGAGACTCATAGAATGGCAGAGGCAAATAGGGCTTTTGCATCCCAACTTTGCCTCAATGAGGGGTCACAGAGCCACCAGAAAGATTATGTGTCCATAAGAGACAGTCAAAAAGTCGACACTCTCCCTCATTCACCTCGCCAAAACTCAATCCATCCGACCATCCGACCATGAGGCCACACTTGCCTCCATCCTTAACCGTGGGACTCGGATTTCTACGGGGCTGTTCTTTTATCGTTTTTTTAATAGGTAATTTGAGTGTAGATTTTGAGTTGAATTTGAGTTATGACTTGAGGTGAAGTTGTAACTTGAGTTTGTGTTTGGTTGTGTATATTTGAGTTATGGTTTGAGATAAGAATCTATTTGAGTTTGTGTTTGAGTGAGTCAAAACTTGAATTTGTATTTAGATGGTATTTTAATAAAAACTCAATGCTGATGGAAAATTTTAATAGGGTATATGGGTGGGGTTTTATACGTATTTTCGTTGTCAACGCATAGAAAAAAAATCATCTCAATCAGAATTAAAACGAAAAAGTTATAGCATTTTTAAGAATAGAATAAATACTGTTAATTAATTTGAGTTCGAGTTTCTGAACTTGAGTTGAAGGGAAAACTTGAACTCGAGTTTTAGTCCCAAACTCGAATTCAAACTTAAAAGAATATGAACTTGAATAAAATTATAACTCGAATTGTTTTTTTTTTTAGTTTTTAACTTAAAAATGGGGTTGCCGAACAACCCTTATATCTTAGGGCTTTTGGAATTCGAGAGCCATCAAAGCGTTGTCGTCGGACTCCGGCCCAAAGAGAGGGGCACGCACAGAGAAACTCTAGGACAACGGGGGAGAAAGGGAGGGAGTTTAAGTAATATTTTTGATAAACAAACTCCCAACAAACTTATGGTTAAAAAATCAGTCATAACCTTAATCTAAATTTCAAGAGAAAGATACATCTTATGTTGACTTTTTGTCCTGTAAAAAGTAAAATCCAACATATATACGACTAAATTAAATAATAGTAAATTGATAAACTTCAACATCTTATCTATAACAAAAATTTAATGCATTATTTCATTGAAAAAGTATCTAGTACATTATTCATACGTTGACCAACAACGAAAATACACAGCATTGGCTGGCAACATATAGTTGCGTAGAATAAATCTGACGTATAATTATATAGTCTACAAAAAGACTAGGCATCAGATCGAATAAGTCATACTAATAATAATAATAATAATAATAATAATAATAATAATAATAATAATAATAATATCTGCTGATATTGTTAGGAGAAGTGAGTCAAACTAAAACGTAAAAATCGCAATTTTTTTTGGTTGTCTGGTCTAAATGGTGGAGTCTATGACGCATTTTTAAGTCTCAAAAGAAAAGAAAGTATGGAAGTACTATAATAATTTTAAGACCCGTTTAGTTTATTAATTTGAGTTTTTAATTTAAATTAATATGTGATTTTATGTGATAATTTTTTACTGTAAAAAAAATATTAAATGTGAATGTTTCTAAGAATTTTTTACTAGTAAAATTCAAATTGATGAAATAAATTAGGCCTTATTATGTGATGGGGAACGACTTTAACTCTTCCACCTATAAGGAATAAAATCATAACCGAAGGATAACATCAAGCGTCCTAGGATTGTTCTCATACACGACAACATGTGTAGGACTTCTCATACCAAAATCGTTTATGCAAAAATAAATAAATAAAAAGAAAAAGAGAGAGAAACGGAAATAGTTTTTATGAACAAAACTATCTTCAATATTTATAACATTTCTATGAAATTTCAAAATTTCAGATTTTTTTTTGGCGGAAGAACGTTTCTAACAAAATTTCAGAAAGAATTCAAAAAATATAAAAGAAAGGAAAACTTTACGGTGCATCTTTATTTATTATTCACCCATAGAGTACGTATTTTTGGCCATTAAATTAAATTTTTAATAGTTAAATTTATATAAATTTATATTAAAAATTTACAGCACGTTAAATAGAACTGCTGATCATTAAAAAATTAATTCAATAGTGAAAACACTTAAATCCACAAGTGGATCACAGTTTTGAAATACACCATAAAAGAAGCTAAAAAAAATCTCCATTCAGGTGGTATTGTAGTGTGCTTTTTACAACATTTTGGACACTCAAAAAAGAAAAATTGTAAATAGACAATCATGTGTTTTAAATTTTATCAATGGTTTATTAGTTAAATAATATATTTTAACATGGACATAGATATAAACTTGACACATGATTACTTCGAACGCGATTTCAGCTAGTATGTAAATATCCAAAAAAAAAAAAAAAAATCAGTGCTGTGTGATGACTCTTGAGTGATGATTCTTGAGTGTGGACTGGCGTCTGTCACAGTGTGATATGACTGACGTCTGTCACAGTGTGATGACTGACGTCCTCGCTTGTTCTTTTGCTCTTTTTTTATTTCTTTTCTTTTTTTTTTTATAATATAAAGAGTTCTTTCGTTTTTTTTTTATAATATAAAGAGTTCTTTCGATCCAATTTAAGGCAGAGAGTCTCATTATTCTCTCTTCCTCTGCGAAAAAACAGAAACAAAAACAAAAACAATGCCCAAACTATTTCTGTACGCAACGACCATCCCCCCAATAACACACTCTAATTTCTCCTAAATCCTCTCTCTCTCTCTCTCTCTCTCCTTCTTCTCAACAATGGCTGCCGCGATTGAACTGACCATTCCGTACAGGATAACGGAAGAACAAAGTAGTTCTTCTTCGTCGTCGAACCCGACGGACGCCGTGATATTCGTGGGACTCAGTTTGGTGCTCGGAATCGCCTGCAGGCACCTCCTCCGAGGCACCAGAGTCCCCTACACTGTCGCCTTGCTCGTTCTTGGCATTGCTCTTGGATCCATAGGTACGATTATCTCTGTTCAATTCGTAAATTGATTTCTTTAGTTATTCCTAGTGCAAAAAAAAAAAAAAAAAGAAGGAAAAATAGACGTTTTGTGTATATTTTTGATTTGCGATCGTCCTTTTTTTAGTTTATTTTTGGATTTATACTGTCATTAACTCATTAAACGTTGGAAATGAGGAAGAAGAGAGATCGTTTACAGACTTCCGATTTAGTTAGTCTTTGTTGCGTAATTATGATTTTTCCTGAATAATATGACGGCCTGTGGAACTTTTTTTTTTTATTTATTTAAGAAAAACCGTGGAATTCTTACTATCATAAAATTGATCGGTTATGGAGATATGTGGAATCAAGATGCTTCAGAATTTTGGTGGGAACATGAAGCATATATGATCTAGCAATTGGGTTCAACCAACCACCAAAATGTTCTTTTGGGTCATTTCCAATTTTTATTTTTGTTTTTATTTTTTAATTTCGCGGTCTCTGCAAAATATGGTCTTTCGCAACTTTGAAAAAGTTATTATTAGGAAAAGAACAAAAAAAAAAAAAAATGGTACCTTGATGCTAAAGGTCTCTCTCTCTCTCTCGAACCTTCATGCTTATGAATTTGTTGAAAGTTGGCGCTAAAGTTAAAAAGGAAATTGCTTTATTTGTTTTTGGTGGAAAAGTTAAAAATATGTTACTTGCTGGAGAATGGAGTTTTTATCGGGAATCTGATTCATTTCCAAAGTCCTGAACTGCCGCTTATAGTGAGTATCAAACAACGGCCAAGATTTTATGATAGGACAGAAAACGTGATGCTCTTGATTAGGCCCACACAATCAAATTTCAATTCAATTAACCATTTTAAGTTTCTGAGGTATATTTTTCTGTAAATTATTCTAGAGACTCGGCAGCCATAAAAACTCAAAAAAAAGTAATTCGAGTTACAACTTTATTTAAATTTATGTTTTTTTAAGTTTGAACTCGAGTTTAGGACTAAAACTTGAATTCAAGTTTCCCCTTCAACTCGAGTTCAGAAATTCGAACTCAAATTAATGAACAATATTTTTTCTATTATTAAAAATGCTATAACTTTTTCGTTTTAATTCTGATTGAGATAATTTTTTTTCTATGCGTTGACAACGACAAGATGAATAAAACCCCACCCATATGCCCTATTAAAATTTTCCATCACCATTGAGTTTTTATTAAAATACTATCTAAATATAAATTCAAACTCACTCAAACACAAACTCAAAAAGATTCTTATCTCAAACCATAACTCAAATGTACACACCCAAATACACACTCAAGTTACAACTTCAACTCAAGTTATAATTCAAACTCAACTCAAGAATGCCTAACTCAAAAATGCAAAAGAACAACCCCCTAAACTCAAAAAAAGTTTAAACTCAAGTTACAACAGATTTTAGCTCCAAACTCAAGTTAAAACTCAAGTTCAAAATCAAATTTTACAAAAGAATATGAACTTGAATAAAGTTGTAACTTGAGTTTAAACTTTTTTTGAGTTTTGGTGTAAAAGAACAAGCCGAATTTTATTCAAGTTCATGTTCTTTTATAAAATTTGAGTTTAAACTTGAGTTTTAACTTGAGTTTGTGGTTAAAATCTGAGAGTTATAACTTTATTTAAGTTCATGTTCATTTTGTAAAATTTGAGTTTGAACTTGAGTTTATGATATGAACGGTTGAGGTTGTTAAGGTTTGAACTTTTGAACTTGCAAAGGCTCAATGATGAGAAGAAGGAAATTTTAAGAATTAAAAGATTAGTTAGAATTGCCGAATCTGTAACACATGATAGACCTTTTAAGACCATCTAGAGAAAGAAGCATAATTTTTCACAGTCATCCACCTTCGATAGGTGTTGTGATTATCAAACTATTCTTATATTCCTACTTAAATGGGTAGGGAACCGAGATAAACACAGCCTCCAACTGAAAAACGACTAATGGAAAGTGGGAATGAAGGTTGTTAGATATGATCGAAATGATATATTCTTAAAACTTAAAAAGTGTTCAGTAGGTTTTCTCTGACATTAAGGTCGTTGACTTTGATTGAGCACTCTTGATGAAGACGCTTGTAAGGAAAGAAATTGTCTCTTGATGGACTTTTGCTTCTACATTTGATAGTATAACCGATGAAGTGATAAATGCAATGGATCTGGGGAAAGTTGGGCTGGACATGGAAATTACATGTGTGTTTGGCAACATGCATTTCATGATTTGTTATGCTCGGCCTTTTGGATCACTCAATTTCCCATATCAAGACTTTCCTTTATGAACTCTGCTTTATGGCTTGATTTTTCCATTGTGGTTGACTGGTTGTGCTTGTTTATTTTCAAATGATAAGTTGATAAATCATGCACTACTTGCAGAATATGGTACACATCATCGTCTGGGAAAGATCGGGGATGGAATACGTATCTGTAAGTTCAAGCAATAGTTCATTCTTTCTTGTCTCTTTGCCGATTCTTTTCATAAGATTTCTTAGATACAAGTCAGAGATTCTATCTTTGTAGTTACTCTTTATAATTTCCATTGCTTGTCATAGCCTGTCAATTAAAATAGATGATCCTTTCATTCTATATTTCCAGCATGCACTACTTAATTGCTCGGCGTTGTTAATATTGTGCTTGTGCAGGGGCAAATATTGATCCTGACCTTTTATTGGCTGTTTTTCTTCCTGCTCTTCTTTTTGAAAGTTCATTCTCAATGGAAGTACACCAAATAAAGGTACGTTCTATTGCTCTTTTTAAATTTTTTTAATGATACAAGTATTTACAAAAACTAGTCCTTCTGCGCTCTAGAATTAAATTTCTTGGACACATGGATAAGTTTACTTGAGAGCTGCAACAGGAGCTACCAAAATACACAAGTAGCATAACTACGAAGGAAAAAAAAAACTGAAAAATCATTGGGAGTAATATGTCTAAAAAGAAATGCTGCAGAGAAGTGGAATTGGCAAATACGTAGCTTAAAACCTGATCATTAATACTAATAACTATGTTTTGTTAGATAAATTTTGTGTCTTGTAATAGTTATAACGGCATTATTATAACTTTTAAATGTAAGCATATCACTATTATTATTTTTACATTTACTGTTATTACTACTGTTATCGTCACTGTCATCATCAGGAAAACAAAAGGACTGCTAAATCAAGTATATTCCACTTCTGTGCAGAGATGTATGGTACAAATGATTATCCTTGCTGGCCCAGGCGTTCTGTTATCAACTTTCTGTCTTGGATCTGCTTTGAAGGTATTGCAAGCATAGCTGTTTAAATGATATTATGTGTCATATGTTAATGTTTGAAACCACGTTGCAGCTCACTTTCCCTTACGACTGGAGTTGGAAAACATCATTGTTGCTTGGAGGGCTTCTAAGTGCTACCGATCCTGTTGCTGTTGTTGCACTATTAAAAGAGCTTGGTGCGAGCAAAAAACTGAGTACAATTATTGAAGGAGAATCCTTGATGAATGATGGGTATTTATTTTCAGTCCTCTAGCTCAAATACTAATATGCCTTTGCTCATCAAATAATTCATATGTTGAGCAGTTGAAACCAGTGAGTTGATAACTACATCAGTCTGTTCTTTTGTCGACGCGGTTGCCGCTGCTACAGTATTATGCCTTTCACCTGTCTTCTGTTTGAATTCTTGAACTTATATTCCAGGACAGCAATTGTGGTTTATCAACTATTCTATCAAATGGTCTTGGGGAAGAGCTTCAATTGGGAGGCCATTATTAAGTTTTTAGCACAAGTTTCACTTGGAGCGTAAGTATTGTGTATTGTTGTTGAGTAATGGTGATGGATGTAATCTTTTTATGTGACTTTTTTATTATTCCAGTGTAGGTATCGGTATTGCTTATGGGATAGCATCTGTTCTGTGGCTCGGGTTTATTTTTAATGACACTGTAATAGAAATTTCCCTCACATTTGCTGTCAGCTATATTGCCTATTTCACTGTATGTTCCTCTCGAACTTGGGAACTTCATTTTTGATATTTATCTTGCCAAATTGCTGTAATTAGATTGTCATGTACTTATGAAATATGCTACAAGATAAATTCATTTGTGGGACCTTTGATACAATATAGATGCCCCAGTGACTAGCTTACATCTTGTGTGCAAAATTGATTTTTTCTGACAGGCACAAGAGGGGGCCAATGTATCTGGAGTATTAACTGTGATGACTTTGGGAATGTGAGTTGAATATCCCACAAGATTTTCATCACACGCATATTCTTATTGAAAAAAATTACAGTAAAAGAATAGATGTATCTTAATAAGATATACACTGGGGACAGGTTTTATGCTGCAGCAGCGAGGACAGCTTTTAAGGGTGATGGTCAACGGAGCTTGCATCATTTTTGGTATGTTGTGTTGCCTTGTTATCCGCAATTTAGAAACAGAAAAGGACGAAAAAGAAGTTTACTTGATTTTTTTCTCACAATTTATTTATTTTTCTACAGGGAAATGGTTGCTTATATTGCGAATACCTTAATTTTCATCTTAAGGTAAGATAATTGAAATCTGTATAATCCTTTATTTTAGAGTTTGAGGAGAGATGAGAAGAAAATTGAGGGAGAATAAGCTTCCATGTTGAAAGGTCAACCTTTTTTAAGTGGAGTGGCCCAACATTCTTATATGTCTATGGTTATGTTTATATTTAGACGATGTGGGACTTAGAATTTATACCCTTAACATGCTCCTGCAAGATTGAGCTCTCTTTGGAGTGACCAATCTTGTATTGGATGGATGAGCCGCTCGTTTGAGCTGGTTGGGCTCTGATACTATTTTAGAGTTTGAGGAGAGATGAGAAGAAAATTGAGGGAGAATTATTGGACTTTATAAGGAATTTGGCTTCCATCTTAAAAAGGCAACTTTTTAAGTGAGGTGGCCCAACATTGTTATATGCTTGTGATTATGTTTATATTTAGACGATGTGGGACTCATGCATTTTTACCTTTAACACTTTATGCCTGAGAATTATAAAGAAACTGAAATGAATGCATGCTGGGGTTCGCATCTTTGTTTCTGCTTGAACTTGAACTTGAGCTAGGCAAAGCTCACGCTTTTCAGCAGGACTATGGTGCAACTATATGCTCCAGAAATTGTGGTCTAGAAATTAATGGACAATTTAATCTACGCATTTCTTATTCGTGGTGTTTGTTAGTGTTTTATTTGATGCAAGTGTTGTAATTGCAGGGGGATAATACTACGAATTTATGAGCAATCTAGGCGTAACATCTCTTAACGATGGTTCTTGTATCTAGCTCATCTGATTTAATGCTTTCTATTGTTGAATGGGATGACTTATAGTGCTTTATATTTAGTATATTCAATTTTTTTTTTTTTGGATTACTCACTCCCCTTTGTGTACACTCAATCTTTTCAATCATTTATAACACTGCCTAGTTTCTGTTCAAATAAATAGTGCGTGTATTAAAATCCCCC